ACAATCCGGAAGGTGACTAGAGATATTAATACAGTTGTAAAATTAAGTGAGATGTCTCTTGTTCCTTTAGATGATTATCATCCGGCATTAACCATATCTAATGATGTAAACAAGTCTAGTTTAATTGATGCTGGGGTTGGTGAGGTATATAATTTTAAAAAAGCTTATCCTAATATAATTTCTATGGAATTACATCGGATAGATGGGATAAATTATATCTAAATAAATGTATTGACACAGCTGTTAATGAATTTTACTCAATTATAAATGATATAATTATAAGACATGAACCTACTTACTAGGTAGGCAACAAAAAATTCCCATCATGGTTTAGTGTTGAATTACGAAACTTGATAAAATAAAAAAATATAGCACACAAAATGTTTAAGGTATCCAGATTCTAATGATTATAATACGTTTTCTAATATAAGAGCTTAATGTAAACGTATGACTAAAATTTTGCTATAGTAAGTTATTGATTTTACACAAAACCAATTAAAAATGAACCCTCGGTGTTTTGGAGGTTTTATAAGACAGGAAAAATAAAAACGTCTTACCTGTACTAGTGCAGCTTCATAATCAAGAGGCTCATAATAATTTAGCTAAAGCAAAGTTATTCAGTAAATACTTCTCCTCTGTATATGTCCCTGAACCATTCAAAGGCCTAGTGTTAACTACAATAACTCAGGTAATTCTAATTTATTTGAATGTTTTTTTCTTTATTGCATATTTTCCAAGTGCTTGAAGAGTTAAATAACGATCCTGTACCCGGGCCAGATATGATATTGTCAATATCATATTGATGTTATAGATTTTTTTTTAATTCAAAAAATATGTGACCAACAGCTTCAGTTTTAAATTTATAATTATTATTAGTAGGAAAAACATTATTTTGCAAAGATACTACTGAAAAAAAATTTGTAATATAAATATTTAAAATGTATTCCATCGTTATGTTAAAATTGATTTAATAATGAAAATTAAAATATAAGATAAATCTTTATACACAACCAGGATAAGTTATACTACCTTGTAAATGATGGGCATTTTTTTAATTTATAATTTAATATTTATATTACACCGCGTCTCCCTGTCTGAGTCCTGTCGTTACTGGGAACTCATCTGATACCTCTCCTCCATAACTTACTTTACTTTTGGACTCATATGTACATGCATTTATCATTCTGGCTAATTTTGCTGGTATTCCCATATGGCTCATGACATTCCATAGTTTTTCTTTGTTAATCGAATCGTATGCTGCTTTGTAATCTATGAATATAAGGTGTACATCTTTATTGACTTTTCTCAGCTAATTCCTTAACTCTATGAATTTGATAAACTGTTGATCTCCCTATCATGAATCCAGCTTGATATTCTCCTATTATTTCTTTAATATATGGATTGATTGAAGAGAAGGAGTGGCCGAGTGGGTAAGGCGGCAGTGTGTTAGCGCTCACTGTCGTCGGTTCGACACTCGGTCACAGGCGCTCCGTTTGCTGGGCGAGCAATCGTCCGGTAAAAAGGAACCGCCATCCCCCTCTCCGGCGACGGATTGACGACCCGTCCTGGAAGCGAATTCGTCAAGAAACCATCTCATGATGGCAGCGTTGGGCCTTCATGGCCCGTTAAGCTACATGATGATGGATTGATTGTGATCAGTAGTATATTAAACAGAATTACAATTTTATTTTAATAAAAATAAAATAGATGGGCTGCCTGATATTCATAGGTTGGTTATTAAATTAAACACAGTAACTAGTGTAAACAAAAAATATATTTAATTACTCTCTTAAATTCCATGTAATCAATGACTAGCAAACAACAATCAATGTTGTCAGTATTGGTAAGAGATCATTTTAAAATTTTAATCAAATAAATAATGACAAAATGAAAGAGCAAAATTATTTATTATTTAATCCAAACTTTATTGTATGTGACAAACTACATACATAAACAAATATATTTAATAAAAGTTAATAATAAAATCAAACTATTCAGAAAAAAAAAAATCAGTGACGATAAATCTAACTTCGGTTCTGGTAAAATTGTAATCTGAAAGCACAAAATATTATATATTTTTAAACAAACGAATTAGGTAAAATGACAGCAAATAAGATGTAAAAATAAATTAGTACACTTGCAAAACATTTTTATTTCAAATCATTAAAATTAAATTAAATTTTAAACTATTAGTACAGATTATAATATGTAAAAAAAACCGATCATATATGCCACAAGTTTTTTATTTATTTTGTTCATTAACAATTGTTCAATATTTTTTCTGGTCCGAGAACCATGTTTTTTGGTTTTAAAAATAATTATAATTTACAGTTATATAAATGACAAACTCCATTCCAAAAATGTTTTTTCAATGGTTTTGATCACTTTATTCAAAACATGTATTGATTGTAATTTTATTGTTTATTACCTGATCTAGATGTTTTGTACGGTATTGCCGTTTTTGGTTCATCATGAAATTGAAATTTGCCAACAGAACCGTATTTACCTTTTGCACTTGTAATTAAGTCTTCTAAGTCTTTAAATAGTATACCTTCTGGCTTGTTATACATACTGAATAGCGCTGCCACCATATCCTATAATTTTAGAAAAAAAAAATAGACATTAGAATGTTTTTTACAAGAGAAACAACTAATGATATATTATTTTAAAAATAAACTAGAGAAAGGCGTTAAAAAAAATCACTCGGTATTTAATTTGACAATTAAATCTAAATTTTTTAAAATAAAATAAAAATGTCTTTCTACCAGACATATTATATGCCCTAGAGATTTTTTTGGCATAATTACATCGTTGTCATTGTAGTTGAAATTTGTTTTTTTTTCATTTTTAAAAAGAAATATTTTATATTTTTGTTCTCATTTCTTGGCCAATAACTAATTTTTTTTTAGCGACATACGATTACCTAACAACCAGATTTTTTTTAAATAATCATATCGATTTCATAGTAGTTAAAGCATTTTTTTTATAACAGGAATTATTTTTGTTATTTCTCCTGTTCTGGAGTAAAATCGTTCAAAAATGGTTATTTTGTTTTTATATTTCTATGTATGAAAAATCATCAGCAAAATAATTTGCTTTAAAATCGTATCATTTTACTGGTGGAAAGGATGTATAAATTTGTTGGTTTAAGGAAAAAACTATTTTGTTCAAGATCCGAGAAGATAAAATAGAAAATGAAAAATAACTGAAAGTAAGAAAATCACTCAAAAAACATCTGCAGCCTTAAATTTAATTCTCTAAACAAAAAGTAATATCTTTTACAAATCAGTTAGAATATTACCAGATTAATTTCAACCTAATTTATGTAGAGTAATTGAATCTTGGAATATTTCGAGTGTCTCAGTACATAAAACTTAACTATCCTTTTATTTTGTAATATTGTTTTTTATTTACCGGTGCATCAGCGACATATGATTCACCAACTACGAATGGATTGACGAGTGTTATAACTTCGCCTTTTGTGAATTTATAGTCTGAAATCACAAAATATTTCACATTTTTTAAATAACCCAATTGCGAAAATTTTATTAACTCGAAGGATTTATGAATAATAATTATTTGTAACGTTATAACTATAATAATAATATGATAATAAATATACAGTTTTATCAAAATAAATATTTTTTTTTTAAAAAAGTAATCATGTATTTTTCATAGTCTACTATTTTTTTTTGTTTACCATCAAAAAAAGTCTAATTTTTTCTAATTTTTTAATTTTTTATTAAAAATAATAAAATAATTTAAAGCTATACTAATGACAAACTTGATTATTAAAATGTCTTTTAAATATATTTTGAAAAATTTACTCAATGAATTTATTGGATATTTTGTATTGTTTATTACTTGATCCTATAGTTTTCAATGCATCAACAGTGGGAATTTCTTTGTTATTTTCGAGTCGACATCCTACTTCTACCATAATTTCTCTTAGACCTATCAAGTTTATGGTCGGATCCGTATTTTCTTCATCGTCTGTGTCCTCAGGCTTATAATCGCTGAGTAATGTATCTATAATTTTCTTCTGTTTTCAGAATATTAATTAGACGTTAACATAAATATATATATATATAATTTACACATTAAAATCAAAACGCCAAACTACTATAAATCTCTAATTCGTACTTGATGTGTGGTCGTTATACTTACACTCATTTGAGCACTGGTTTGATCATCGGCCATGACCTCAGGCTTTGACAATTCCTTGATCACTTGATATATAATTATCTATTATTTTCAGAATATGAATCAGAAGTTTATATATATTTATAATTTACACATTAAAATCAGAATGCTTAACTACTAGACATAATATATATGCTTTGTGTTTTTTTTTCAGAGTAATAATATTAATTTTATAGTAGTTGAGGTATTTTTCCTTATTGTTATGCATTGTTTATGAGTGTAAATATAATTTAAGTAAGCTCATCGGTGCAAAAATGG